CGTTTATCTTCTCACCAAATGATATCTTACCCCTTGCTCTAGGATTTCACTCCTCTCAAATCTGCATCATTGGCTCAAAGTTCTCTGAACTTCAGACCAGTGTATCTAGTTCCCTGCTCTGCTTCTCCATTCCATGCACATCAGACATCCCCAGTATAAGATAAGACCTTTCCCTTGTGTTCTCTGTTATAGTAAGTGGTATTACTAGCTACAAAGATCTCAAGTCAGGAGATTGGGAGATTTATCCTCATTTATCTCCCTCCCCTTTACCCTACCCTTAACCAATCACCTTATCATTCCTCCTCTGTTTATCTGGATCCCTTCCACTTCTCTCAATCCTCACAGTTACTGCCCTTTTGCCTACCCCATTTCACTAGACTGGAGTCTTCACCTTCAGTCTCACTGTTCTCCATCCCATCCCTCCTTCCCCCGACCAGACTACTTGCTTAAAAGCTTAGTTGTCAGAAATGGCTCCTCGTAATCTGCTCCCACGCCTTACCCTCCAGCACTGCTAAAACACTTGAAGTATACACTACTTTGTAAGAGGTTTAAAAATCTTTAGAACATAAAATATATAGATCCTTGATCCCTGAAGTGTGATTCTAAGAACCTGCTGAAACAAGGGTCTGCATCACCCAGGATCTTATTAAAAACCCAGAAGTTCAAGTCCCACCTTTTTCAGAATTCTCTTTTTTTAAAAAAAATATATTGATTTTAGAGAGGGGGGGGGAGAGAGAGAGAGATAGAAACATCAATGATGAAAGAGAATCATTGATTGGCTGTCTCCTGCACGCCCCCTCCTGGCGATCAAGCCCCCAACCCAGGCATGTGCCCTTGGCAGGAATCAAACCAGCAACCCTTCAGTCCACAGGCCTACGCTCTATTGAGCCAAACCAGACAGGGCCAGAATTCTCATTTTAACAAGCTCTCCAGTTATTTATGTGCACTAAAGTTTGAGAAGCTCTGACTTGTAAAATAGTCTTTCTTTTTTTTAATGAGTGAAGGAATCAGAGCCAAGGGGAAATCTTACAAAGCCAGAGCTGAAGTAATATTGATAAATGCATGAAGTCAGTTGGTCTGTACTTTGTTTGGAGGGTAGAGGGTGTGGAGGTACACTGATTTTAAAGAAGCCAGAAAACAACTGGATGAAGTGATTTTTAGTGTATATAGGTACTGGAATTATTCTCCCACCACCTCTCCTTCCTCCTTTTATATCACTGTGTGCATCACAAAACCTTCTAAGGCCTGACTCTCTGGCCTTCCTTTCCAGAGAGTGAAGGAACAAGCACTCGTCATTCGCCCCCTGCCCTTCCTTCGTTTCCCCAGGTTAGGTTAGCTGTGGCTGACAGATCAAAGAGCAGGCCTCTCCTATCCCCCAACCTTTATTCATCCTTCCAGGTATCACTCCTTCCAGAAAACCCAGCCTCCATGCCTGCCCTGCCCCCTTCAAGCTGTGTTCCAGGCCTTCAAGGCACTTTTCACCCTGCGCTGTAATTGATTAATGGCAGGCAGTACTCAGCTGCGCTGAAAGGCACAGGCACTGGAATCAGTTACAGTCAGGTCTGCATCCCCGCTTCCTGGGGCTCCTAGAAGATATGTGACTTTGAACCGGTGACTTCATCTCAGGATTTTAGTTTCCTCACCTGTAAAATGTGATTTACTGTCTTAAACTGTTTAAAAGGAATGGGTGAATTAATATATGGCAGTAAGGTGTGCCTCACTTGTCCCCAGCGCCCAGCTGTAAACAGTGACTAGTAAATAACTGAGCGATTGCAGGACTCAGAGGGTGGCTTGCCAATGCTGGGCCAAAAAAGAACTCCTTCCAACTTTTACTGAGCCACGGGCTTGCTCCCTCGAGGGCGGAACCTCACGTTGAGTGACGGCCGGTGGCCCGCCCCGGGCGTGACGTCGACCGAATGTTGTGGCTGCGGCCGCACGTGGTCGGCAGAGTCCGCCTCAGACTGCTGCGCTCCGCGTCTTCAGCCGCTTGCCTTCCTGCTCATCTCGCTCGCTATGTCCACGTTCACGAGCTGCCCGATTCCCGGGGGCAGAGACCGGCTGCCCGACTGCTACAGCACCACGCCGGGGGGCACGCTATACGCCACTACCCCGGGAGGTCAGCAGGCCGGGCTGGGGTCCTCAGGGAGCGGGCTGGACAGCGCGTGTGTGCTGTGGAGGGCAGGGGTGGGGGCCGGGGTCGGGGCGGTGCGGACTTGCACTCGTCCGCAGGCCCCTCTGCTGGTTGTGGCTTGGGGAAGGTGGAGGAGGGCGGTGGAGCCCAAGCCTAGTTTCCGGGTGACTCGGGCTGAAATCCTCACTGGCCTGGGTTCTGGGCGCTTTGCTTACCCGCCTCTCCCGACTTTGCCACCCGGGAGGCCGAGGCCCCAAC